AGAATCAGAAATCTGATGAACTGTCTGGATGTTTTCAGAAACATTCTCCTTTGCCCTCAGAAGGCAAATGGGCAAATCCAAATGAAGACTTCACAAAACAACGTTTTGAGGGGCTGCTGCTTCTTCCCAAGATAAATATGTCTTTTCATACTTCACCTTTTCCTTGGTATAATACAGTTTTCCTTTCTTTCATGGGAAGGGCTGTTCACTACTATTGAAATGGGAGTTTAGCATGACTGGAAAAAGACAGAGTGAAAGAGTTGCTCTTTCAGATGTGAAAAATCAGGATTTCCTCTGACGTAGCTGCCCAAAACCTTCAGTCAACATAATTAGGCAAACACCAAGTGGACACTGACAACTGGAAATGCAAACAAAGCATCAAAGAAACAACACGACTATTGTCTTGTTTAAGTCATTTCACATTGCATGTTTAAGCCATTTCAATCTTTTGCATTTACATCATGCTACTTTACATTTTATATAATTCCAGACTTTCTATAAATCCAATTCTACACTTTCTGTAAATCCAGACTTTAAATGACAACAGAGGACACACAAATCTAGTTATACTTCAGAAGATGCCATCAATTGAAAACACTTGGAATTAACGTTGCATACGAAAAAAAAAAGGAACTGTAAAAATCCTGGTTTACTATTAAACTTTTGAACTCAGTCTGTCAAATTCCTTTGCAGATAAATAGAGTTATTTTTGGCCAAGTGATGAAAGTTTGCATTTCATCAGGATTAATGGATATAGGGAAATTATAGAAACAGAATCAGAATCATCTCACCAAGTGAATCACTGGAACACCTGACAACTCATTATTTTACAGAAAGGGAAAACAACTGCAAAGTTGTTCGAGGTAAACATAGAAGTCTACTCTAAAAAAATTATTCTTAAATTATACTACTTAGTCTACTTCTGTATGGCAGTGTTTCCTTGCCGATTCCTTTACTGATTGGAGGCAAAACCTGTACAAGGGTATGTCCTAAGACACACCTGGAACACAGCAAGAAAGACTTCTCTGGAATTCAATTTATATCCCCTGCTTCACTCTGGTGTGGTGAAATGGAGCACCTGCAAACACATAAAAACTAGTGTAAGCAGACAGTTTGTGAGCCTGCACCACCTATCCTTCCTAGCGGAAGAGAATGGAGCTTGTTTTCTGGTACACAGTTTTTAGAAAGGGAAATTAAAATATTTTAATTGACATTGAATTTTGAAACTTTAAGATACTAGACAGGGCTGTCACACTACAGGGAGCTGGGAATAAATCAAAGCAGCTTTGTGCTATGGTTTTATTCCAACTTTGTTTAGGGGCTGATTTTGCCATTTCTTTGCAGGGGACAGGTTATCTGCAACAGCCACAAGCTGTCCGAAATAGTAACACGCACAAGACACCTAAACAGAGATTGTTACATTAAAAACTAGCGAGTACAGAAATAAAAGGGCAAAGAGAGAAAGGTTATTATTACACACACGAAGAACTAACAATCTCCGCTCCTCGGGGGAATGTAAGCGACGTACGTGCTACTTCCCTTATCTCGGTTAGCCAGAACCTCCCAAATGCACGGACCTTCCCCTGTCCCTTCTGCCAGGAGAGATACACTGGCACACGCTTGCGCTTTCCAGGGTACCATCATACATCCCTTTTCCTGAGATTCGTTTTCAAGTGTAAATCAGTGTGAATCAACCTTTCTCAAGCGTGAATCAATGCAAACCAGCAGGCCAGGAGCTATACTTCACACACGGATCCTTCCCTACATTCAGCAAAAAAACCTGCAAAAACCTGGGCTTGAAGATTTTTCATTGCATATTTTTTTTATAAGATGCCTTCTCTGAGAAACCCAGGTATCTCAGAACTCCGCACAGGCAGTAAAACAGCCAATTGCTTTTTAATTGAGAAGTCCATTGAAATTTAGAGAGAGAAAGTATTGACAGGAACACTGAAGTTGTTATTCCTTTATCCGACTGTATCCTATTCAACTTCCAAATCACTTCCAATCAACTGTTTAGTGTGCACAATGCAATTAGGTCCTACAGAAATATTTGAATTTATTATATTAAACTTAATGGGAGCAAAGGCATAGTACTTCAGCTACTTGGTAGACTACCTTCACGCCCAGTGCCTCTAGAGAATTAAACACTCCTGTATTTACTTCATTTACTTTAATTAAACATGACACCTTTTGCAGCACAAATGACAGTATTGTTGATTTTAGAAAAATAAATTTGTCCCTTACTTTCATATTCTCCCTAACATTTCCAAGGGACAAACCTTGCTTTTCAACATTTACACCTTCCAAATATGTTAGGAATGCATTTCCTCGAATGTCCTAGAGCAGGAAAAAAAAAATTATTTACCAGAAATGATTAGGTAGCTAAGATAATGAAGCCACAGAGATATCAGTACAGAATAAAGACAAAACTATAATAGTGACTTTAAAAGTCATCTTAAATGTACGATGACGTTGCAAATTCACACTGAGCATTTTAAAACTCCAGGACAATGGCAAAACAGGAGGAGTAACACTAATATGTACTTTTTCCACGAGTTTTAATGCATGACATCCCTAAGCACTACCTTTTCCATTTTATTCTTGAACAAATTAAGGTATTGCAAATCTCAGCAATAGCAGTAGCATGTAGATCCTGACACACACCATCCACTGCAGCTAGTATAGTCTCTTCCTACCTTTGGAGAGCCAGTGCTATAAAACCCTCAAAATGTGAGTCAACAGTATTCATTTTAGAACATAAAACTGACATATAAAGGTGCAACTCTGATTAAAGACTAATTCAAGTGTTCAGTTCCGTCTCTGTATACACAGAATTGACATTACTGTATCAAAAAGGCACTAACACAACAATTTCATTTCTGTTCCATTCAGGCAACAAAAACAGCAAGGTGAAAAACCACAGCTGGTACCTGCCAGACAACTGACAGATGAAGTGTACAGCATTGGAGCCATCCGTGGTGAAACATTTGCAATAAGAAAGGAGCTACAGCCTCAGGTGTTTTGCAGAAAGTGCCCAGCTAGCCGGCGGGTGGGTCTCACACCAAGGTACAGAGCTTTTTGTGACTCCTTGGCTCCCCATGAACGCCTGGTACCACGGTTACAGAGAACAGCAGGGGACCACTTTGTACTTCAGAGCATAAATGATGTTACTAGTGATCCTACAACTGTAGCTGGACTACTTATACTCCTAAATCTTATGACAGAAATAAACACTCATCTGATGAACAAATATCCTGAGCAGACCATAACTCCTACCCAAGAGCTCAACCCAAGAGACCACCTACAGATGCCAGAAATCTGATAGTCCTCAGTGAAAAAGAGTCTCATTTATTCTTTATCAGCAGTGTACTGAGAAAGGTAATTTAAAAAATTAACAGTATGTCTTTTTTTCCTACTGCCGCGTATTTTTTCTCCCCAGCTGTTGTGGAATGCGATAAACTCACGGTTCAAATACAGCCAGTCTCTATGCAGGCCATTGTAATCCGAAATGTGCACAACACCCATCTCTCTTCACCGCGCTTGGCAATGCAAACATTCGTCGCACCCGCACACTATGGAGCAGCTTCTCCTGTACTCTCAGCCAAACTCAGGAACATTTAAACTACATGAAACACCAAACTGGTGTCAGTTCCCTTTCTGGTACTTGTCTGTTTTCTCCTGCTGCACCACGTTTCTTCCACTTCCCCAGGCAGTCAGAAATGACAGATAAAGGAATGCAAAGAAATGGAGTGTAAATGTAAAAAGAACTATAATTGGTTCAAGACTCTCTACTGTCTTCAATTTTGTACAGTCATTTACAGCTGTCTAAAGTGTGTGAAACACTGGCACCCAAGTGAGTGAGTAGGCAATTAAGATTTTCTACTCTTTCAGGACCATTCTGCACAGATGTAAACTACTGGATACAGTACGAGACAGCAGCGACACACTGAGCACTCTGGCTTGAAGACCGTATCGTTCCGCTGAGAAGGACGCTGCTTTTCCCTGACGTGTCTTCACAGCTCAGTCTTGGAAGGTGCTGAACCCTTGGACCTCAATCCAGCAGAAGTGCTTAAGCACTTACTTAACATTGCCAACTCATGCATGTAAATACTTGCATTATTTGCAGCAGGGTATTTTGTAGGCAGGGAAAACAAGGCTCCAAAACCAGGCAAGCTCAGCCCAACATTACTCAAGAAGTCTATTGTTCAGCCAAACATTTTGTTTTGACCATAAAACTAGAAACCTTTTAAACAATAATATCAGGCAAGCCAGCATGAAGTTCTGTATTAATAAGACTAAAAGCAAGTCAAGTTAGATTGAGAGTTATTTTAGAAGCTAAAATTGCCTGCAACACCTAATACCTACACAGATTTCCTAACGAAATGCAAAACTTTTTCCTTAGGTCACAGTCTGAAGTTTGACCCTGTCCATAATTGCTACCAATTGATTACTAGGGTGTAGCAAATTGAATGCTGGTTTTACTTTAAAGAGGTGTCTAAAACAGTTACATTTAAGCATTATTGAAGCATATTCCATTGAAGAAGGGCCTAAAGTCTACACATAAATTTAAGAAGTATGGATTAGTACTGCAGTTCTCAAATTAATTGCATTAACTCTAACCATCCAAACACAAAATACGCCTTTTCTAAGCACACATTTCTTCTGTCTTAATTTAATCTAATAAATTCTTAAAGGGTACCAGCAGGACCATCCTCACAAATTGTCAAGCACAGGGCTTATTTGTTTGCCTCTCATAACAACACATCCCAAAATACAGAGCAACTTTCAACTTGTTATTCTCCAAGTCGTCTGCCAAACTGCAGATGAGTTGTAAACATGAAGGACATGTTAAGCCCGTTCAAGTCCATCAAAAAAAAAAAAAAAAAAAAAAAAAAAAAAGAGGTGTAATGGCTTAAGAAAATAAAAAATACAGCATTTTCCAAACAGCAGCAGGAAATCACATTGTCTATTTTTATCCCAGTTCACTGGAAGTGCTTTACCTTTCTGTTTTCTTGATAAGCACAGCCCTGAAGATTTGTTCCTGGGGAGTTTTCTCTTTTTCATCAGTCGGTTGCACGAAAGGGTGGACAGCAGCCAAGACGAAGCCCTGCTGGTACAATTCTTGCAGCTGAGCTGGAAGATCACGCAAGGAGGAGAGCTTGATTGCAGATGATCCTGGCAGCTCAGCTGGAAACAAAAATAAATTGGTCAATAATCCTCCACTGGACTATCATGTTTTTTAAAATCCAGGCTCTTCAGAGTCAAGCAAACTTCACACTGATCTACAATATTAACACAAAAATTGACCTTTCCTGAGGCATATTTTGTATTTCAGATTTTAAGCAGGCTGTCTTGGTGAAGGACCTGCACCACAGAAGAGACAGGTGCAATTAAACAAGAAGTCAGATACATTAAAATGCCAAATTCACTACATAGTCCGCCAGAGATGAAGTGGAGGATTTAATAAAAACAAGGCAGTTGGTCAAAAGATATTCTAAGTTTCAGTAGTCGTCACAGTAATGCAAGTTGAGGAGAGTGAGCCATGAGTCCAAGAGTACAAAACAAGAGAAAGGGGATAGTCAGCGAAGGTAGAACGCATCAAATTCGAAAGCAATAAACAGAACCATTCATCTACACAAATGCTTTATTATCAGACTAAGAGATCACCGCTGCAAAATGCTGTTGAGACCAAATATCTACCCATACATCTAAAGAGTACTTTGTACGTATATTGATAACAAGAACGCTGAGAGCAACGCACACCTGTAGTGATGAGAAACCTTTCAGAATAGACACTAAACCTGACACTTCAGGGTTTAAGCAAACCTATACTTATTAGGGATGAGGATGAGACCTAGTGCATGAAAATAATCCCTCCCCAATCTGCTTACTGTGGGGTTTTATGCCTTCCTGTGAAGCATTTGATGCTGACTCCTGTCAGACAATCAAGATACACACAGGTACTGCAGTCAGTACAGCAATTGCTCTTCTTTCCTTGGAGTCTTGTGGGCTTCAAAAGAAAACCCATAAATCACCTAAAACAACCTTCCATTCTCTTTCTCTCTACGTCAGTAATTCTTCGTACGTTTTTCATATCTTATGTGAAAAGCCATCATTCTTTCCTGACCTTTGCCTCTTCATTTCCATCTCTCTTGGGGGATATTTATTACTTCATCCCTAATGATGCTAGAGTATATAGGGTGGTGAGGTGCTGGATGGTTTCCCCTCCCACCAAAACTAATAGGGAGGGGATGTTGCAAGAAACACAACCGAGGTTCCCAGCACTGTGCAGGCCTTCGTTGTAAAAAAGCACTGGAGAACAGTTTGTCTGAAAGACGCCAGCTATGCAAAATAAGGTTTCATTGTACTGCTTTTTTCATCAAAATGTGTGGCTACCCTTTATGAATAATGAAAGAGGTTATCAAAAAACTAATAAATATTCAAAACCAATAATACAGAGGAGTAATTTAAATAATAATAGAATAGCTGTGCTTGGTATGCTTTTTCTTCATATAAGACCATGTTCCAGAAGAGGATAATGGAACTTTTTGACCAAGAACTGTAAGACACAGAATTTTTATTATTTTTGCAAATAAAATGAGAAATACAAGCAACGTGTACATTGACAGACAATAGGGCTCTACCTTCTACAGCAGCATACAAATCACTTTAGAGTCATAAAAAAAGATGCTCCAATGAATAATGCATAAGAAATAATAAAACCGACTGCTACTCACTGGACCCTACTGGGGATCAAAATGGGGAAACAAACCCAGATGTCAGAACTACTTTTTACCTCTTGTGGCTCACAGACTCCAAAAATTTTGGACTATGAAGCAAATAGTTTAATTAATTAAAAAAATATGAAAGCCGGAATACCTTTCTAAACGAGGGGTTTACTTGAACACAATGGAATGACTAAACACTATTCAGTAATGCTAGTTCTGGGAATGGCACTCCGATTTTTAACAATCATCTATGAAAACTGATGCTTGCCTTGCCTATGAACCTAGTATCTGGATTCTTCTGAGGATGCCTTGGTAAGGTCTAGTCATTAACATGGGAAAGTGATTGCTTCCTCCTGAAAGCTAAACAGAAGGGGGAAAGTGTGAAAGCACATGGAACTGGAGCCTTGGGATGTACACTGGATGATTAAAAAAGAAAGGTAATAGAAAATAGAGCTGGAAGGGATATCCAGCTTGTCCACCCTACTACCTAGAGGCAGGATCAGTTCCAATTTAGCTATTTCTCACAGTATTTCTCATCTATTTTTTAAAACCTTTAGTAATTGAGATTTCACTAACCCCATAAGTCATGTTTCAGTACTTCTCTAGTCTTACTGCTCAAAATCTTTTCTAGCATCTGGCCTAAATTTCCCTCTCTGAAATTCAAGATTGCTACTTCCTCACTAGAATATTTCTTTTCTGCATCAGCATTTTACAGTTCCTGATACCTGTCATGCCTTAATCTTACTTTCTTTAGACCGTATAAACTCAGTCCTTTCAATGTTTCCTGTTCCCTTGTGTTTTCTAGATTTCTAAATAATTTTTGATGGTTCTCTCGATTCTATCCAATTGGTCCGCATCTAAGCCTCGCCACAGTGATCCAGCACAAGCCTCATCGCTACTTTGTAGAATGGAAAAGCTCTTTTACCTTATTACACATCCCATGTCAGTTTACATCATTTGGGGGGAAAAAAATTAAATTCTTCTCCTCACAATTAAGTTGGCCAAATATCCCTGCCCTTAGCGAATTTCAGAGGGTTTTTATTTCAGTTTTATAGGGCCATTCTGGACTTTGACCTCCACAGTGTGAACAGCACTTCTCAAACTGGCAAACCTCAATACACATACTCAGCAGCCTGTGGCTGGAATAGTTAACGAAAATGGTGAATTTCAACAGATGCTGGACAGAACCATTTTAAGCCTTACAGTTAATATCTCTTTTTGGTTCAATGCTGAACGACTGCTGATTTCTCCTTGGACTAGAGATCCTTCAAAAAGAAAAGACAGTTCCTGTTACACAACTGATGCCCACAAGGTCTACACGCATTTCTGGGTCTACAGACCTGTGCTGTGCATTCTTGTTACTCTCCCACACACAGTGGTTTGTGTGATGCAGCTTCCTCCCCAGAAATCCCTGCTACTCATCATCCTCTGGGGTTTAAGTTGTTTGTTCCAGTATCTTTCTGGGCATTGTTAGTCTACCAATCATACAGTTCTCTTTACAATTAGGTTGAAAAAGGACATCACACTTTCCTGGAGAGTTGCACTCATCGTTGAACAGTCTTCAAACTTAAATGATAAGATTTCAGTTATTTCTACAGCTAATTCCTCTAAAGTGCACATCTGTAGGTTCAACCTACTTGAAAACACCTAATTTATGAAACCAGCTGTTGTTTCCAGTCTTTCCTTACTTTACCTTAGAAAAATGCTATCATTTTCAGAAAACCTTACACAACTTCCAATAAAATCAATTAAAACTTCTGGTTTAGTTGTTAAAGAGAATTCTAACTGTGACACTTTTGAAAGAAAAGGAAAATCAAAATTTTGTACAACAGGGACTTGTATAAGGTAAAAGAACAAATGAAAAAAAAAAATCAAATAAAATCTTTTATAACTCCAGTGCTTATTAGAAGCCTCTATTTTGCCAACAGATAAAGATCAATTATTTAGCAGCCTCCATATTGCTCTTGAAATGCAATTAGCTCCAAGTTTTATATTCTGCTCCATGTTTCCTTATTTATTGTTGCACTTCACAACCTGACCTCAAAAGATTCCATTGTTTATTCTGCCTAAATCTAGACCGGTGTGTAAGAAACTTGTAAATGACAGATGCTATGTTTTTCAATTTTGCTAAGGCTCAAAGTGGAAATAGAAATGCCGACTGCTTTTGGAACTGATTACCAGGCAAATTAGTTTGTTAGACTAATAATTAAAGCTGAAAACACTTACAGCAATGCTCAGACACATACAGAAAACTACAGTTTAGACATCTTTCAAAAAGACAAGAAAGTTTGTGTTACACTACTGATATCCATAAGGTGACTTTCCTGGGTCTAGGGACTGTGCATTCTTTCTTGCCAATGGAAAAACCTGACCAAACACTCACACTGTCCCCATCTTGCCACAGAAGAATCAGTAAAAGGATTGAGTTGACATAAGACTCTACAGGTTGAATCATGTATATTTGAAAGGAATCATCTCTACAGCTCCAAAAAGCAATTTATGGGAAACCGAGGAAGGTGGTGCAGTCTGACACAGGGATCCTGAGGGACTGAGACCAGGCTGAGAAATATGGTTGGAGAAACAGGCATTGAGAACTTCTTCCTCCTGTGTTATGGAGCAAGTCTTTCCCTCCTGCTGCCACAGAGATCAAACAGCCACTGACCAGCTTCAAACTGAAGCATATCATATGACCTCTGACAACTGCGCTATGGTCCACGCTAAAGGGGTAGATCATCATCAAACATTAAGAGAAAAGACAGTTACAGCAACTGTCTACAACAAGGAGGCTAATTTTTCTATATTAAAACAATAGGGTTGGGTACCTTGAGATGCTATAACCCAGCACTTTCAAATAAGGAAGGTATATTTTGCTTTATAAAATAAAGCACGGATTCACCTATTAGACCATGCTTAATAACGACAATCATCAACTACAGTACATCTTTATATAATATATATACCCCACAGAATCAGACACTTTTAACTCTACTCTATTTGATAAGCAGCAATTTTGCCTTCCTGACAGTTACTTTTATGACAAAGATAAAACAAACTTTATTGGTTTTTAATTTCTTTCTACTTGAATGATAGCTATGCTATCCAGGAAAAACAAAACATTAAATGCGAAAATAGCATTTATTTAATTTCTCTTTACTGAAATAGTCAAATTCAGGTCTTAGTTTCTCAGTGCTTATTCTTAATACTTTATTTAAAGGTACGAGCGTACAGTTTTAGTCTAAATTTCTACTATCCTGTGTTAGGTGTTTACTTAGTTTGCTTACTCCAATAAAACAAATTAAGTTTGGGATCTTTTAGTCTTCATTTTTTAACATGTTTTCCTGAGCTTTTATGTTCCTATTCCAGTCACAGCTGCTAAAGACTGATGGAGCCTTTAATGACAGCTCATATTACACGCGAAAATGTTCCACAAAAATATTGGACTCCTTTTAACTAGTTTCT